AAGTTCATTTTTTAAAATTGATGCGGAAAACCAATTAGCTGTAAAGAATGATCCGTGTAGTTCATCTAGGACGATTCAGTCGGAATCGGACAAAAATACCAGACGCAAAAAACGTAAATTAGTAATTAGTAATAGTGATCATGATGATGATGTTGTTTTTCAAGAAAATGCGAGTTTTGCGGATGTTGTAAAAAGACATAGTCGTATTAGTCAAAGTAAAACTAATAGTAACAGTAATAGTAAAAGTAACAAACCAGAAAATCGTAAGACTCGTCCAGTCATTGTGATTAAACCGAAAGAGTCCAAACAACCTTGCGAAGATACTCGTAAGTTTTTAAAAACTCAGTTGGATCCAAAAACACACAAAATCAGTAATTTTAGGAATGGTAAAGATGGCTCCATTATTGTTGAGTGTGCAACAGGAGCAAACGTAAGTGATGTGAAAAATGGTATTGAAAGCAATCTGGGTGAAAAATATAGTGCTGTTGTTCCCACTTCGGTGCCAAGATTGAAAATAGTGGGCATGAGCGATCAGTTTTCCTCCGATGTCTTTATTGACTACTTAAAAAGTCAAAATGAAGACATCGCTATTAATGATGTAAAAGTAGTGAACATGTTTGAAAATCCACGCTTCACTTATAACAAGTTTAGTGTTGTAATTGAAGTCGATGTCGATACTTATAAATGTTTGTTATGTGCGAAAAAAGTAAATGTAGGGTTTGATCGGTGCTCGATAGTTCCCGCGATTAATGTGTTGAGATGCTTCAAATGTGGAGAATTTGGGCACAAGAGCATGGATTGCAAAAATTGTGATAGATGCTCTAGGTGCAGCCAACAACACAAAACGTCGGAGTGTACGTCAACTGTATTGAAATGTATTAATTGTTTGAAAATGAATAAAGAACGAAAAATGAACTTGGACGTCAACCATGCCGCATTTAGCTCGGAATGTTTGCTCTATAAAAGACTTTTTGATCAGAAGAAAAGCAGCTTGCGTTTCAATAAATAGCAGCCAAGTTCCAGGAATGTGAATCAATTCGATTTTTTATATTTGAATATTGCGGGGTTGTCAACAAACTACGTAGCATTACGTCAGATTGTTGAGGAAAAACGTCCTCTTTTAGTTTTATTATCTGAAACTCATATTGTAGAAACTGAAGCTTTTGATCAGTATAGTATTCCGGGATATATTATTGCTGCTTGTTTATCACATTCTAGACACACTGGCGGTGTTGCTATTTATGTCAAAGAATCAGTTCAATTCAACCTTCGTACCAACGAAGTTATTGATGGCAACTGGTTCTTGGGCATTACTGTTGTACGTGGCATGAAGATGGGTAATTATGGTGTTTTGTATCATTCTCCCAGTTCTAGTGACCAGCGTTTTGTTGAAGTTTTAGAGAACTGGCTCGAGACATTCCTTGATTCTAGTAAATTAAATATATTGGCTGGTGATTTTAATATTAATTGGCGTGATAACCATAATTCGAATCATTTGAAGCGTTTAGCTGAGTTTTTTTAATTTAAAGCAAACGGTAAATGAATATACGCGTATTTCCAGGCACAGTAGAACTTTAATTGATGCTTACACAGTTTTGGTCACGAACTGCTCAAATAACTTTGCACACAGTTGATGAAACATAGTTCTTTTTGAAGCAGTCGATAGAATAGAGTTTAACCTAAAAAGTAGATGTTAATTCTAGTAATAAACTGTATTTGTTTTTGTGTTGTAAAAATTAAGTGTGAAATGTTAGCTGCACATCTCGGGCTTTAAGTGTAAAAAATCATTGGTGTTGATTCAAATGTTAAGATTTACCTACTTTTTGCATATCTATAGTAAAATTGGATCTAATCCATCAATTACTTTAAAGAAAAACAAATTTCAACAACAGAGTGAAAAGTTATCAACAAATGAGCAGTAGCATTTCATGTTACGTGATAAAACTACGGACTTTAATCATGAAAAATGTGAAACAATAGCAAGTAAGTTTGTCCCATCAAGCAAAGTAATCGCATATCAGTTCCATTTTTGAATTAAATCGTGCAGATTCTAAGTTACAGTTCTGATTTTTTGAATCGCCATTTTTTTCACTGATTTAACAAACCAGCATGCTGGCTACTAATTTTAACTTGATACAATTATCGATTAATTTGCTATAATTTTTTAGATATTTACATAGAAGTTGCACTTCTTAACTTCAACTGCCATTTTCTCACTGCCTATTTATTGGTGGTAATTGGGTTGTTTAACTTCGAAAAATATACCAAATTTTTATACATCATCTGATGGAGCTTCGTTTTCTGAGCGCAACGATATTTTTATCGATCCCGTAGACATTCATCTTGATTTTTAAATCAAGATTTAAATGTTTGATCCTTGACACTAAATCGATTCGTTGACAGCTCGCTCCCATACAAAGTCCCACCAAGGGGCGCTAAGATGGTGATTTTTTGCTATTGTAATCGTACTTATTTAAAATAGTTCCAGTGTACCAAAATTTATGAAATTTTGGATTTCGGTTCCATTTTGAATGCAGATAATGAATATGTATTCACCTCAATACCCCTAAACAACCCAATTCACCACAGCGAGAAGTAGTGGGATTATCCCGGGATTTTATAGAATCCCACAAATTTCTTGAAACGATATGAAATGTGAATACTTCTTATGTGTCATACAGTGCGGGACCGAAATCCGTACACCTAAATGATCATCTCATATAAGTCATTCTATAATTCTTGACCAATAACTGAAAGGGCCTATCAGCTTTTGTAAACAAATCTTGAAATGTCCTTCTTACACGTTCATGTGAAAAAGGAATTACAAGTTATATAATGTTATATAACGAATATTCTGCGAAAGCAATTTATCTGGATTTAAAAATGTTTTGAGATAAGTCGTTGTATACCATATTTGTAATGTTTGTAATTCATGTGTTATTGGGGCGTTTTTAAAATTGTATTGACGTTCTGTACATTGTTCTAAAGTATTTATTTCCAGGACTATATTCGCATTTTAGGCCATTTTATTTTTATTTTCAGGCCATTTTAGTCTTGCAAAGCCAGCCAAAAAAATCTTGGCCATATAAAAAATTATGGGCAATGTTTCGCGTTTAAAGATTTTTATGTGAGTAGAAGTTTCCAAAATTATTTGAATTCATTTAGTAAAAAAAACTAACTTGGTGCAAACCATTTGATGTTGATATATGGAAATTACAATGAGTTCATATTTTGGGAGGTATAGAGATGAACTAGCCTTCGGCTAAAAATCTCTATAATAAAGATAAAAAAAAATTTATTTTCGTAGGCTAATCAGGACCCAATTTGAAGCCCTTTGAGCATTGTGGAGCGAAAATTTCAAATTTCGCATCAGTCTAATGGACCGCTCATAACAGGGTGTCCCTGAAAAAAAAAAATTATTAAAATAAATCAGTATCACTGAAACGTCAACCATACACACTTAATCTAGCTCGGTAAAATCTCCATCAGCCGATTACCTCGGCATTTAATTTTGCTGATATCTCTGCAAAATATCTGTTTGTTACCTGATATCTCAGCAAAATGTTATTTGTTAGCTGAGTCTCGTCAATTTGAGTCAATTTACTGAAACTCAGCAAATTAAATTGCAGAACTGCTCGGCTGTTGGAATCTCGGCGAAAAAATTAAGTGTGTAAGGCTCACCTCTTTAGAATGAGACTTGTATGAAAATGTTCAATCGGGGGGTCTTGAACATTTTTTTTTTTTTCGATTGTTTGTAGTGTAAATCACCCCTAAAAATTGATTTTTATGCCCATTTCCGAGCCCATATCAGACCTAAAATGAATGGAAAAATCACCATAGAACATTTTGAAACTAGTCTCAAATTAAAAATGAGCACATAATATTTTGTTTGGTGGCTGTTTCAACCTTTGTTTGTTAAAAAAAAAAAAAAAAAGATTCCACTATGCGATGATGCCGGTAATTTGCGTTCGATTGTCGAGGAAAGAACAATCAACGTTTTGTTTATAAAAGTTGATAGGACCTTTTCAATTGTTGGTCTACAATATATAGAATTGGTTCCGGTTATTTGATAGATCGAAATTCTATCCGCCAGACTATGAATATAGCGTCTATAGTTTACAGCACTGTCTGTTCATGCACAAATTGACAGTTTCTTATGGGATTTTTCGGTGTAGTGGAAAGACAAGACAAAGTCCGCCACACGCATATTATAGGTTATGAGATTTTATCATTTGGAGTAAAGAGTAACAGAGCCGCCGTTAACGCCAATTATATTTACCTGGGTACTGCGAACACAGCCGTTTTTGTTTTGCAAGTCAGCAGGAAACAACTTGAAAATTTTCCGATATCACAAATTGTTTTGCTAATGCACTGCTCACAATTTGCATATACATGCTGTCGAAAGTTCACCCTTTGCTCCATAAATAACGTGTACATGGTGTTGGGAGTGCACCTACCCACATGACTCTTATAAAGTTTGTTTGCATTCTTCCTTCAGCAGTTCGTGCAGGTTCGTTCGTTCGTTACATTGTTTACATCCGAGTATTTGAGCAAGTTTTTTGTTGAAGAATATTAGTAAAAAAATGCCGAAATTACAATATTTTCAACATTGACCACAATACTTTCTCTGCCGACGGGGATTGTATGAGAAAAGTATCACTTTTAGCAGCTCTAGATCGTTGGATTCTTTTTGACAGCACCAGTTGGATTCTTTTTGACAACCATTTCGTGTTTCTCCGCACCACTCAGATATTTACAATCACATTCATGTTTTCTTTGAGTGCAAACAACTCCCATGCACAAGGCGCCGCCTCGCGCAACTGCCGCTACGCTTCAAGAACATCTTGTAAACAAACAGCAAATCCACTGATAGGGCACCACCACGAGCACGAACAGCACCCGAACAACCATGTTCGGGCTTATGCTGCTATGTTGTTTTTATTCTGCCCGTTCATTTTTGACAGTTCATTTATGCTTAATTCACACCGCGATAACCGCACGATTCGCACGTGAGTTTGTTTTGGTTCGTCAATTTGCGCTTGTTTTCAATAGTTTTAGTGGCGAGATATTTGTTGAATAAAGAAAGCTAACATGGAAATGAAGGAAGGTAAGTGTCCTCATTGCGTTGTGGAAAAAGGGGGCAATAATAGAATTTTACTGTTATTCCAGAAATTCTGAAGCGTCTAAGCAATGCGGGCGAGGATTTCGAATCGAACCTGGCATACGGAATCAAACTATGGAAGTCGAACAGCTTTTACTACATGTCCAAGTACGAAGTGATATTCGAATTCTGCCTTGATCAAGTGGGTGACTTTTTAGAAGGATTGTCCGGGCTTTCGTCGGCCGAATTCGACGAAAAGTGGCAGATTGTGAATGAATTTCTGGCTCTGCCGTGCCCATCTAATGCCCTTCCACCGAGGTTGATTCCCAAGTTGAGGAGTGTTTTGACAGAGTTACGAACCAAACAAGGTGATGCCATTTCCAAAGCGTTGCTGGAAAGCTGTTTAATCGTGGCATTTGATGTTAAGTACAAAAATTTCTACAAATTTGATTACGAGAGTTACGGAAAGACACTGAATCTGGCGCTGGATTGTTATCAGATGTACTTGAAGATGCATTTTGTGAAGGAAGAAGAGGAGGAAACGATCAAAAGAATCCTGGACGATATAAGGATTTACGTAAAATCGGCCGGAGATGACGGCAAATGGAAGAAGGCATTTACGTTCGCATTGACGAATCTGTGCCAAGTGATTTTGGCATTGAAAGCGCATAGGTTAGATCGGCATGAAGAGCTTCTGGAGCTGTTGCGGGATGTGTATTTCCAGGATGGGAAAAGTTCGAACTTCAATCGAGTGCTGGACCAATCGAAGAAGCGGCTGCTGATGAGCTATTTCGATCCGAGCACATTGCCGATTCATGTGGTGGCTCTGTTGATTGAAGGATACTTGAGAGCGTATCGGGAAATCAAGTTGGATGTGCTGTTGTTTTTGAAATACATTCTTTTGTATGTGTTTGTTGATCCGGAGAAGTCGATTCTTTCCGATGTTCATCAAATATTTCAGCTGACAGACTACGTGTTCTATCTGCTGAAGAAGTACTTCATCAAGATTGATCAGAAGCTGGTGCAGGACTTTGATTTCACAGGAATTTTCACGGTTAAATTGAAGGAATTCCTGGAAAAGTATGAATCATCAGAAGAACATCTGAGGGATATCTTTTCGTTGATTTGTACGATTAATGAATACAATCCGCTGATACTGGAAACGAGTATTATCGACATCATTCTTCGAACGATGTTCATCACGAAGGGACCGAAAACGGTGGAAAAGTTCCAGGCTATGTTAATCTCCACAGTTGGGTTGTACGTAAAGTTGAACCGAAGTGAGAACTTCCGGGAGGAACTGTTTATGAAGCTCGGAGATTACCTCGACGATCATGATTTGGGTGAGCGGCTGAAAGAACTGCGAAAAGTGTCGAATAAAAGAAAGTCGTTGGCAGCTGTGAATGAAACGTCTGGCAAGCGTAGGAAGCTGGATGATGGTGAAGAAGTCATCCAGAAAGATTCTACCGATGAAGAGTGTTACTTGAGATTGCTCTACCCATCGCAGACGGAGAATGCTGCGAAGAAAGTGTTCCGTTTGCAGCTGCAGGACCAGTGGCAATCGATCGCGTTTGCTTGGCCGGATTCCAACGGCCACCTGAATCAGGCCATGATGGACTATGTGAAAGGTCTGCTCACGAAACGTAGCTTCACTTACTGGAGAAAAATGCAGGATTACCTGGAAGAACTGCTTGCAACTCTCAGCGAAGAGCAGAGCGAAACTGAGCTGTTCAAGCTGGAGTTTGCTACCTGCTGGATGTGTTACTTTTTTGCTGGAAATACTCTCATTGAACAGACGAACCTATTCTGGGAAAAGCTTGGAAAGCAGTTCATAGAATTTGACGAACTAATGGCGAGCTTCGGACGAATGCTTCTTGATGGGAGCACCCGAGATGGTCGAGTGTTCGATTCGTTCCTGAAGCTAGTCTACTTTTACGGAAACTATCGATTGGTAGTACATTACTACCGACCGGATTCGATTGAAGACAGCCAGAACGATCACATTCATCGGTTTTTGAGCGATGAAGAGTGGAAGCAGTTTGAGGAATTAGTTCCATCATCTGGATTAGCGTTTCTGAACCGGATACATTTGCAGAGGATTCGCGTTTCGCAGTTGAACGCCGAGTCTGGGGAGGAATTGGAGCATCATTCTGAGCTTGTAGAGAAAATCCTTGCCCCGGAAGGTTCCGATCAGCTACGGTGGTTGCTGTTGGATCGATCGACGAACTGTTGGTTCTTGCAGTTGCTCTCGCTGGAGCAGAAGGTCTCCGTCGTTGATCGTCTCTTGAATGATAATTGTTACGCAGAGATCGAGCACGTCGTTGAACAGCTTGCCGACGATCACGTCCTGATGGAAGTGGTAGTACTATCCACCTATAAGAAGATCGCCGAGACGGTCTTCGGTCAATGTAAATCCTCGGTGACCCGAAAGTTGTCCTTTGACGGGATATACGAATTCGATGAGGATGGTACCATGGGCAGGATTCGGAAGCTACTGGAGAAGAAAGCAGAGAAGAAGGACGCGGTGGTTGCTGTGAGTAATGTGGATCAATTGAGAGATCTGCTGAAGATTTTGAGTGAAATTCGGATTGACGAGATCGCTGAGACAGAGAAGACGATCATCGTTGCCGTGGGTATCCTGGTCTTCACCGACGTGATGACCTGTGGGGAACCAGATTTGATCACTTTGCATGGCAACATTATCAATAGTAAGTATGCTTCAGAAGTATGGGAGTCAACCTAACATAAACATCGATTTCTTTCACAGAACAACTGACATTCGGAATGGTGCCAAATCTGCTCAAGTTCTTGGACATCGACACGTTAATTCGTATTTTCGGACAGTCATCTCCCGTGATGGTGGCATTCATCCGGCAAACAGCTGCCTACCTAACAGAGGAAGCATTCGCCAGTATACAAGCAATGTTGGAAAACTTCCTCCAGCAGAGCGACGAACGTTTCGAGCTGATTCTGTCCATTTTCTTCTACTTGCAAAAGGTACATAATTGGACCGGTCTGGTGTCTGGAAAACTTCAATCAAACATTCGCGTCTATTTCAGAGCAATGCCAACCGAAGAAAGTTGATTCCTGCGGAGCAGTTGAGCGAGCTGATTGCACAGTACGTCAGTGCGATTGAGGCGTTCATCGCCAGCAAAACGGCGAAGAAGGTGCGGAAATCGGACCTGGATATGTTCAACAACCTACTGAAAGGATGTTCCTTGATCATTCACTACAAAGCCGTCTGCAAGAAGGAGCTGTCGGATGACTTGCGCGAGGTGTTGCTGCAGTACATCGATCAAGCGGTAAGTTTACGGGAAACTGTCACTTATTTAGACAAGGTATCGGTAGGCCGTGGTGGGGCAAGCGTGTCACCTTAACAATTGTACGTTCTATATAGGGCAAATAGTGGATTAATGGATAGCAAGTTCATAACATTTTCTTCATAAATCAGCAATGTAATGCCAATTAAATCTCGTCATTAAGATCATTTTGACCTGCATTACCTAAATTTCTACCTACCACTTTTAGTGGTCCACAGTCAAGGCGTTGCCATTAGCCATAACCCAAGATAGACGCTAAAACTAGCTTCCTTTCTCAATTGCAGCTCAAAGTGGACAGTCTATCTTCGAGCACCCTACTAACGAACGCTCTCCAGCACAAAGCCTTCCTCAAGCTGGACCCGGAACGAATCGATCTGGTAGTGGAAAATCGGTGGTCCGGTTTCCTAACCCAGTTGCGGAACGAATGTCAGAATGGTGCAGATTGCACATCAGCAAACGACTCGGACGTCGACTCCCTTCATATGCAATCGAAAAATGTCAAGGTGTTCGCTGCTTTCCTAACGCACCACCAGACGGCGAAAAAGCTTACGGTACGGTTCAATCAGCTGGAGAAGGAAGCCGCTTCGGATCGAAGCTACCGAACCAAACAGTTCGTTCTGAGGGTTTATGCCGTATTTGCAAAGAATGCCTTCGGGTCGGGAGTTTCGCAGGATGTGGAAAAGGCATTCGTTAGATCGTTCGGAACGGTAGTGGCCGATGAGATCGTACCGCTGTGCGTGATGAAGAAATTATTCGACGATCGTATTTGTTTGGAGGAAATCCTCAGCTGTCTTTCGGCGGTCGTTTCCAACCCTAAGGTTAGTTGAGAATATTCTTGAAAGTATCATATCGAAAAGTTGGCCAACTTTGTCCCATTGCAGCTCACCCTGGTACCGTCTATCATGGACAATATGTTGGAATTCCTGAGCTGTATCAACATCAAAAAGTGCGCCGTCAAAGACGGTGAGGAAAAGGTCTTCTACCAGCTGCATCGGTTGATCAGTGACGTTTTGTACCTGATGATGATCATCAGACCCAACTACGTTGCCAATCGCCTTCCGCAGTACTTTTACGTTTACAACGGGTTGATCGCTTCGATTATCTCCTACAAGGAAGATCGCCCGCTCGAGAAACCTTTGAATAGTTTTGAAATTCTAACACTGTCGGATCTGTTGCTACCACTGGAAAAGTAAGTTTCTTCTTCGCACACCGATTGGTTTGAGCTTCATATTATTGTTTTGAATTGCCATAGGATCATGAGTCACGCCGGGCAGAAAGTTGCTAAAGACCTCCGCATCATGGCCCCGTACGTGCTGGCGCAGATTATCCACTTCATCATTCAGAGCAAACGATCGACGACGCTGCACGAGAAGATTTCCAGAACCGTTTACAACATCTGCTACGGGTTGATTGAAATTTACGATAAGCACTCGTCCAGCTATCTGCTGCGGACGTGCGACGAGGCGTCGAAGAACGTCTATACAGAGATCGTGAAAGGCTTCCGGAAGTATCGTTCCTTCAAGGGGAAGATCTAGGCAGGCAAGTATCGGGATTTTATTATTTTATGGCTATAATTGTGAAGTAGACTATATTTTTCTCAGTTCGTAACCTTATCTGAGTTGGTGTGTTATTTTTGAGAAATGTCCAGTATTAGGTTATATTTTGTTAAAATTTCCCAAAAAATAGGTAACTACCTGAATATTCTCGGTGTTGCTCAGGCGGATTAAAATGTTAGCTTCTCTCCCACTTACTAGGATTTCATTCAGAACGCCCATTGAGTTTTTCCGAGTACCATTTCAAAAAGACGAAAAAGAAGTATGATTGCATACAAGGAAAAAACAAGAAGAATACATAATATATGGCACAGGAAAAACTCATCGACCGATTCTTCATTATAAAAATCCGTTGCCTCCTGTGAGGATTGAACTCACGACCGCTGGTTTACGAGACCAGCGCTCTACCACTGAGCTAAAGAGGCTTTGTTAAAAAGCGCGTGAAATGTGCGCAACGCATCATGCAATGGTATGTGCACTTGTACGTTTGTCTCTAGCAGACTTGCACCTTAAGGCCGATTTGAGTTATGATGAGACGATTCGAGTTTGTTTTTCCAACTCTTGACTTGAAAAAGTCGTTGAAACGAGTTGAATCGTCTTCTTAATCGAGCTTTAACTAAGTTTCACTTAAGAACACAAAGAAAAAAAACTCATCAAAGTTTCCATTGTTGCGTATATTTTTTTTAATTATTGATGGCTTACATCTTACATTCTTATCAGTTTAAATATTAGGTCAGTGTTCATAAGTTTATGTATTCGTATAAGTGCAATAATGCCTTAAAACTTAAAAAGTCTGCTAAAAGTAAACGTTTAAACTATGAACTGAACATTTGCGCGCTCGAAAACATACATATATTTGCTTCAGCTAAACCTCAACATCGTCCTATAAATTTGGATATACAATTTTGACTAGATCACAACTAAGGAACTGAAACAAAACTGAATAGTTGGAATACAAACAAACAGAAGGTAACGTCTAGAAATTGCACAAACATCCTACGCCTAATTTCATGCCATACCATATTATCGATACTGCTAAATACAAGACAGAGAGTGATTCCTACTTAAAACACGACAATCGCACGAAACCTATCAACTTGATTCGACTATTATAATGTAAGTTTGCTGAACAGCAGCGACAGAAATTCCAATTTGTGTTTCATACTTATCCGGTTTATAATAATATAATCAATACGACCAATAGTGTATAATTCCGATCAAGAGATTTCCGCGACTAGAACCCAAATTAATCATTTAGAATAGAAGCTTGTTCAGCGCCTTTCTAGGACATCATTTGCGCAGCCGGCGGAATCGGATGGTACTGAGGAGGCTGTAATTGAGGTGGTTGATTCGTGGCCTGCGGCTGCAGTTGAATTTGTGTTTGCGGAGGAGGTTGTTGTTGTTGTTGCTGCTGCTGCTGTTGCAGATGTTGTTGAGCTGTGTTTTGTTGATTGTTGTTGTTGTTGCTGTTTTTGTTACCGCGAGACGATCCTCCCGATGAACCGTTTTCGGTGCCGCCTTGTTGTGCTTGAAGTTCGGCCTTCAAACGGCGAGCAATGTGCGAACGGGTGTGCTTGCGTAGGTGATCTTTGCGGTAGAAACCTATCGATGATATATAAAGATTGGTGACATTAAAAGTCATGGTCATTTCATTTTGAAAATCAACGACCATGCACCTCCATTAGCATGATAGTGTAACGTTTTGATAATGGAGACACATGGTAATTGGTGATTATGTAGCTCGTACCTTTCCCACACTCCTGACAGATATGTCTTTTCTCTCCAGAATGGATGACGATATGAAGAGTTAACTGCTCCTTGCGTTTGAACGCCTATCGAAAAAAAAATCCATCATTAGCACAATCACTTCCACCCCGCCAATCAATGGCAATCTCACCTTCAAACAAATGGTGCAAACAAACGGCCGCTCCGGATTGTGGCTCTGTTTGTGGCGTGTCAGGTGGTCCTTTCGTTTGAGCGCGGCGTTGCAAATATCGCAAATGAATCTACGTTCCAGGTTGTGTCCGATCAGATGCTGTTCCAGTAGCTCCCGTTCCGGGTAGGCCATCTGGCATTCGGGACATAGGAACAGCGGGCTACCGTCCAGTGCCGTTCGGACTTGGATTTCTCCCGGTTTTGGACGAGGTTTTCGCTCCTTTGGTGGCTTTTTCTTCTTCTTCTTTTTCTTCTTTTCGATTCCACCGGTGCCATTGGTGGTGGTGGCTCCGTTGACCGTTCCGGTGCTGGTAGCAGGGCCTGGGAATAAGATTTGAAGTTTGATGTTAAAACAGTAACGGGTAGAACAAATCTTGTTCAATTTAGTACACAAGCAACGCAAACAAATAGCTCGTTTTCAACATAAACTTTCAGAACCCATTTTGGTCACTTCTGGGGTGCCTCAGGGTCCTCATTTAGGCACAATTATTTTTATTTTGTACGTAAACGACATTTCCAACATACTTAAAAAAATAAAAGTAGGGTAGAGCACTACGTCGGCCTAATCGCCCATTTTGGGCCTAGAAAACTTCAAATAAATCCATGATTTCAGAGTTAACAAGTCAATTATGCGTTTGGTACGATACTTTAGTTAATAAACTACGGAACGAAGTCAATGAGAACGTGTGATATGAAGGTTTGCACCCATTATTCCCAAAAACAAAAGAAGCGCTCCGACAGAATCAATTTTTATCTTCATCCGATAGGCCGAAGTGAATTCATTGGCGTATCAATGGCGTCTCAATGCGTTAGGCCGAGTTTAGAATCCGTAGGCCGAGTTTGGCGTCAAGAAGCAGTCTTAGACTTTTGACAATATCTCAACGATTGGTTTCTCTTTATCAAATATTACGGTACATACGGAAAGGTAAATAAATTTGGAAACCATCAGTAATAATAACATTCCGTTTGGTGCTAAACTGTGCTAGATTAAGAAAGACGAAGTGCGGGTTGTTGTTAATAGGCTGGAAATGGGGTAGTTAACCCCATATTTGGTGCAAACATTCATATCACGCGTTTTTATTGAGTTCGTTCGGTAGCATTTGAACTAAAGTATCGCATAATTTACCTGTAAACGCCGAAATCATGGATTTATTTGATGTTTTCTGCTTGATAGGCCCTAAATGGGCGCTTAGGCCGAAGTAGTTCTCTACCCTATTTAGCAAAAAATAGAAACACCTATTTTTGAAATATTTTTAGGCAACCAAAAATTAGAAAAATGTAAAATTGTAAGAGACCTAGGTGTAATCCTAGACTCCAAACTCACTTTTGTAGAACATTATTATACCATCATAATGGAAGCAGTATGCTGTGCTTCATAGCTATAACTTTCAAGACCCATACACTATTAAATTATTACACATTACATACGTAAGACATATTTTAGAATACTGTAACCTAGTGTGGAATCTGTACATTGCCATACACGAGGAACGCATAGAAACCGTAAAAAAAATCCTTTGCTAATTGAATTGGTCCGCATTTCCTCTTGCATCATATGAAGCACGCTGCATGCTTATTAACTTACAAACACTAAAAAAACGCCGCGAATTTGCAATGCTTTTCTTCACTAATGACATTATTTCACATCGCATAGAATCATCAGAATTACTCCGACAATTTAACTTCCCAGACAACCAGAATGCACGTATATTCAAAGTTGTTTTCGTGATATACAAACATATAAATAAACAAACAATTCGTATACAATGCAAAGAAATGGCTTATACGTACAAAAGTGGAGGCTATATATGTACGTGCATATTTTAATTTAATTTTAAACGAGTTGATTTAATATCATATACGATCAATTCTGTAATAACAAATTCATTTTGAAAAGTCTTACGATGTAATCCGATTTAATTTGTGATACAGTACGATGGAAAAATAAGTCATCGCATATTGGTCGGAAATTTGCATTCTATACGATTTAACTTAAACATAATGCGAGGTATGCCATTCTTATATGCGATTTTGACTAAAACTGTAGCAATTTATGATACTGTCTGTACATTATTATACGACTTCTGGTTGTCTGGGTTATACCCACCCTGTCGGCATCTCAAAACACACGGAAATTATGCTCAGAAAAATTACACAACAAATATACGCAAGTATATGCAAAACATGATTTTAAATTGGCTCACTACTTGACTAGCCTATTGGTCCCAAATACATCTATAGCGTACCCCATTCTAATCGAAATTTTAGTACTACACTATGTTTGTTTTGATTCGCTATGAAAATGAGGGGTTAGTGGATTTTCCTATGTATCGAGGGGTGCATCGATTAGCTTGGGACTGAAAATAGTACCAGAGCTGAGCCAAAAAGTTGAGCATGTTTCTTCGGGACCTACTAGTCTTAGAGTTACCTCTATGGTATAATCTACACTGCGAAGTCATTAGCATTGCTATGTGAAAAGTACTAATCAAAACCCGACTAAAACATAAATAATGCATAGCATGTAAGTAAAACATTGTAACCGTTGTAAAGGGTGTCCCACATCAAATTGCATCACGGAAAAATGCTGTAGAAAATTAGCCATTGGGTATTTTCTCTTGAATATTTGGGCAGAAGTAGTTTAGAGTGTATTGTTTACACTGTATTTTTATCGCTGTCAGATTTCCGAAAGTTGGAAAAAATGGCGTCACCCGAAAAGCAACGTCGCGAATTGATTTTACGCAAGTACCGTTCCGATTCAAATTTCGGACGATTCAAATTTCGGACACTTTCATTTTTAATTAAATATTACATCCAGTTAGAAACAAAGTAATAATGTTAGATGATCGTGGAGGGCACAAGTCAAAAAAATTTAAAATTTACAAGACATGTGGATCATATTCGACCGAGATAATCAACTTTTAAAAGTGTCCGAAATTCGAGTTTAAGTGTCCGAAATTTGAATCGGCACGGTACCTAAAAAATCCTTAACTCTCTCATCGGGACATCGGAAAACAACTCGGAATCGTGCAGTCAACGTGATTAAACGTTACTACGAAACTATGAGCATCGAACGGAAGGAGAAATGCGGTCAGAATGGATGTTCTATTAGTGATCAGGATCACAAGCGTGTCGTCAGACCCCCTTCACTCTTTGGAATGTATAGAGACAGATAACAGCGCCAAACGGTTTGTGACGAGACAACGCTGAACTGCTGCGTTGGAAGAAAACACGCACACCAACATCTATGCATGTACGAACCCACACAACTGAGCGGACGGTACAGCGCAAATCAAAACACGAAGTGGTGTCATCACTAATCGTCATCATTAAGCTTCGGCTACTCTCGTTTGCGTTTGTTTTCACCGGTGTTGTCAAATACTTCCTACGTTATAAAATAGGAAAGTAATGATTATTCCAACGTAATTTTTGAATGGAATGCTTGTTGTGTTGCACAGCAAAAAAAGTTGTTGAATATTACATCGAAACTGCTGCAACCAGGTCAATCCATCGGTTGTGTAATATCACATTGTACGATGTACATCGATTTTGCGAACAAAATTACATCCATTGATGTAATATTGTATCTGCTTTTTGCTATTACATCATTATTCCATACATCAGCTTAAATTACGTTGATCGATATTACATTTTTTTTTTTGCTGTGTTGCCATATTTTATTACGTTTAGCAATGATTTGGATACGGTGCATTCCAGTGGCTGGGGTGTTGGAATAATTCTTTAGAGAGAGGGAAGGGGTCTTCCCATGTTTCCTTCTATGCTTATTAAGATTATGTTGAACAACAGCTCCGCAAATCATCAATTACTATTAGAGATTTGCATCTTACTGATACCGGTGGTATATTGAAAACTCTTTCGCTCGAAAGCAAAACATATTACATGCACATCATGATGCGCACTTGGATGTGTGATTGTCTTCTCAAGTGTTTCTGTTGCATACACGGAGAACAAATTCGTTAAGTTAAGATAACAATCCTAATAATGTGATGAACTAGCCTACGGCTAAAAATCACAAAAATAAAGAAAAAAAAAAAAAAAACAATCCTAATAGTTACTTTCACATGGAAAAATAATGTTGTTTGAAAGAAACCTATAGTTATTCCAACATTAATTTGACCGTCAATTCAAACATATCCACTGTTCATCTTATACTCAATTCAACTAGAATTTTGATCAATTATAACAAACGTCAAATGTAATGTATTTATATAATTCGGTTTCAACTGATCATCATAAATCCGCACAATTTTAACTTGTGATGCGTAGAGCAGGCGATAAGATTGCTGGCTCTCACGCAGATGAACACGGTTCAAATCTAAGTTGAATGTTCTTGTACACTTTTTTATGATTTTTCAGTTGTGTTTTTGAGATCGATAAAGAAGCAAAACAAACTTCCTTCATATGTCGATAATGAAGAGCAGTTCGTTTAATAAACATTGTAAAATGTTGCTTTCCTAACAATAGTTTTCTTGAATCAACTAAAGCATAGTTGTATTTTGAAGTTTGACGTTTGTTCATCTACTGAAAAATATAGTTGGGCCAACCGAGGAGCCAACTATGGACTATAGTTGTTGCCCTCTATATATAGTCAAATCAACTAAAGTTTCGGGTTATCTCTAAAACAATTGAACAATATAGTTATTTTGACCGGAAAAATAATTACGTCTGCTATAATTTGTTCTCCGTGTATAAAGTGGTAATGATTGAAAATCGAAGCAATCACAAACAAGTAAGAATCTTGCTATCGCAATATAATGATGATGACTTCGAGGACGATATCGTCCTCTTCCCTCGGCTGATCATCAACGTCCGCGTTTGACATCTGCCATGCAGACACCTGTCATTTATTGAGCCCTGGTGGTAAAGTTGGCAGGGAACTCCCAATAGTTTCAATGTGCACTCAACACTGCGATCACATAAGGGTGGTAACTATATGCCTTGTATGAGGAATTGATTAGTGGGATATCTTGTTAATTAGATATCTTTGGAGTCGTGAAAGCGTTTAAGCGGGAACCCCATTTCTTCGGTCAGGGATGTGACCAAAAAGTTGAATCTGTCCTAGTCTTTCGTTCAGAGAGCCAAGGACCCGGAGGGACAGCATACGTACAAAGTGAAGAAGGCTCCAAATCGTGACGAACGGCAAAATACAATGGGAAAGTCACGGGCCCGGAAACTGTAGTCCCAGATGCTTACGAAGCCTCATTGTCTCATCATGGGTGATGAAACTTACGTCAAGGCGAACTTCCGGTAGCTTCCGAGGCTACTGTTCTTCACCGCCCAGCACAAGTTTGATGTTCCGGAGG